TGAACCATGAAGTCAGCCATGTGGGATTCAGCTACCTTAACCATCATGCATGGGCTGGCTCTGATGTTTTAATTTGTATATTTTTCCCATGAAGGATGACTCAGAGGCTATATAAAAAGATTATGGAAATATAATAGTACCAGAAAAAAAGAGAGCAGATCAAATATGTATGTATATACATATATTTATATATTTGTACATCTACTATAAGTAAAGGACTTTAGATCTTTCCTAAATTCATATAAAGCACCTATGAGTTACTCTTCGATTCCATTTACTGGGCGGTGATGTGTGCTAGACATTGCGTGTTGCTCTATCTCTGTAATTTCAGCAGTGAACATAGAAAACAGGTTTATTAAAAAAAAAAAAAAGAAAGAAAGAAATCTGCCCTCACAAAACTAGACTCCTAATTGAAAGAGAAATTCACTAAAATTAAATAAATAACTTGTATACCACAGTCAAAGAGGAAGTTGCAATTTTAAATAAGATGATCAGGGCATTACTCAGAAGATATATGAGCAATTCTCCAAGATGGTGGTGAAGGGGGTACCCAACAGACATTTAAGAGAAAAATTTCCAGGCAGAGAAAACAGCCCAGGCATGGATGAGTTGGGAATGTGCTTACTCTTTATGAGGCACAGCAACAAGACCCAGAGAATTGAAAGGAGGAAGGAGAGTGAAGTCAGAGTTTTAACCCCCGCCCGGCCCCTCCCTTCCAGCCATTTTGGCTAGCTATTGGCCTCTAACCAAAATCAAACCTCCTGTCACACGGCTCTCTCTATCAGGAAGTCTGTCTTTGGATTCTGGTAGCTGCTCCCCTCAAGCTAACTAGCATTGATAGACCATCAATCTCCTCATACCCTGAATAATCCTCTGTAAATAGACAAGCTCCTCAAACTATCTCAATTTCAGTGTGCCATCTTGTTCCTGGCAATGCTCTGAGTAATTCATGGGTGTAGGGCAACAGCTCAGGTGGGAGACAATGATTTGCTTGGACCAGAATGTTGCAGTGAAATGATGTAAAGTAGTCAGAGTTTGACTTGCTAACTGACTTATTGTCTAGGCTGACTATATATTCTGACTAAGCACAGTAAGGATGGAGAGTAAGCAACTGAGATTCATTTTTTCAAAAGTTATAAGTCAATAGAAAATATGTGTACAGACACTGAAAGCTCACAGAAAATACTTATGCTTCACAAGATAATGCAAAGATCTTTAGTCTTACTAATAATGAAAGGACTGCAAATTAATATAATAGAACCTGTTTTTTATTTTTATTTTTTATTTTTTTTTTGGAGAGGTTTTTGCTATAGGGCGCGTGTGCTCACCAGACAGACAGAGAGAGAGAGAGAGAGAGATAGAAAGCGAGAAATCACCCCCCAGGGGGGATGGCCACACCGCAATCCCTTCTCCTCCATTCTCCTCTCGGGATCTTGGGCACGCATGCACATGAGCCCGGCGTGAGTTTAAGTCACCGGGTCCGGGACGCGAACTGTGGTCGACTACGTGGGAGTCCAGAGACATAGTCATTACGCTAACTGCTGGTCCCAATAGAGCCTGTTTTTCCCCACAAAACTGACAAAAATAAAAGTTATGCTAATATACAGTATTGGCATCAGTATCAGATAACATAACTGCAGGGGTGCTAAATCCTTACAGAGAATAATTTGCAATGCCAAACGATATGTAAATATTCATATATTTTCCAAAAATCTCCTACTATAATTTTATCAATAGACATATTCACATATTTGTATAAATACATGTGCACAAATTTTCACTATTACGGTGTTTATAATAATAATGAAAGAGAGGGACCAGCAGTTGGTGCAATGGCTATGTTGCTGGACTCCCATATAGTCAACCGTGCCTCAAGTCCCGGACCCGGCGGCTTAAACTCACGCTGGGCACGTGAGCGTGTGTGTCCAGGATCCCAAGAGGAGAATGGAGGAGAAGGGATTGAGGCATGGCCATTCCCCCCCAGAGGGGGAGAGGGTGATTTCTCTCTTTCTGTCTCTCTGTCTCTCTCTGTCTTTCTGATGAGCACCCTATACAAAAACCTCCCCCCGAAAAAAAAGAAATAATAATGAAAGACCAGAAGGAAATAATATATTCAATAATATATTCATCAATAATATACATGGATTAAATAAATTAGGATACATATATACAATAGAATACAATCACTGATTTACAAAAAAAGTGAAGTAAATTCATAAATGTTGGTGTGGAAAGCTCTCTAAGATTTATATTGAGGGCAGAGGCTGTTTCTCTTTGTTAGTTGCCCTTTTTTTTTCTTATAAGGATACATACATTGCAGAAATTAGAAAATATTAGAAAGGCAAAAGAAATGATTGAGAGTGATTGCCTGGCTCAGACACTGTTGGGGGCAGGGTAATCCAAGTACCTTGCAAGGAGAGAGGTCAGATGGTAAACTGCAGAACTGCAGGTTCAGACCCCAGGTCTGAAAACACGCTGGCTGGTGTGCATGTGGGCACAAGCATCCTGTGGAGCTGAAGGATTAGGAAAAGGGAACTGCAAAATGGCAAGACCCTGTTGAAGGTGCTTCTTTCTCTTTCTCTTCTTCACACTGATCACCTGTCTCCCTCTGTTTCTCCCCCTCCCTGCCTCACTTGTGCACACATACATGCTATCATTAAAAGCAGAGTGACTGCCTCTGAGCAGACTAATGTAAGACAGCTCTATTTTTCATTGTAATATAATATTCCTTCTGGTATATTAAAAAAATTTTTACCACGTGAATGTGGTATTTTTTTCAATAAACAAAAAATATAATGAGCCAAATTAAAATAAATAATCTTGTAATGCACAAAACCCTATGTTGCTAAATACAGAAACATATCTAAACAGTTCAAACCAACCAGCACTGAATTACAGCTGCATTTTATTGGTATTTGTATTCTGTCAGAAGATAAATGTCCTGAGCCACAATGTTCGAAATCACAAGCATTTCTCCATTTGTGGTAAAACTGAGCTTATTAGCAAACTCTTGGAATTTTCCAAGCATTAGCCACAAAAAAGAGAAAAAAAATTACAAGAGTTTAAGGTAGACAGTTCCAAATGGGGAAAAAAAAAATGTAAAATGTGGCTTTGTTCTCATTAATAGCTGGCTTAATCACTGATAATCATTGTGACACTGATCAGAATGTCAAATGGAACAGTCCACATCACAATTTCCATTTCCCTAATACTGTAATTTCCACAATCAATGAATGTATTTTAGAACTAGCAGAGAGCAACAACATGGAGAGGAATAAATCAGTCCAGGTTTATCTTAAAGCACTATGCAGAAGCCAGAAAAAATCAGAATCATTTAAAAATTGCATAAAACTTCTCTATTAGAAGAATGTCACTTTATTTCTTCGAGAGTTCTCTAGGCTCTCTCAAAGATTTACAAATGACACCAACATGAAATGTGTACAGGATTATATTTTATTTCACTAACATTAATGTTAAACTTAACTCTTAAGTTATTGCTCATCTTTCTTAGGCCAATATTCTCCTTCTACCACAATCCTGACTGACACTGAAGTTATCCCTGAAGATAAAACCCTCTTGTTATCAGAACCATCTTATATAATTTATCCAATAAATTTTACTAGGTCATTGAGAAAGTCATGACGCATTTTTCTGTTTTTCTATGCAAAAATGCATCATGACTTTCCCGACAACCTAGTAGATAAGAAGCCAGCTGTGATGGTGCAGAGTAATGCACTGCTTTGCAAAGATGAAGCCATATGGGTAAGTCTCAGGTTGGCTGCCCAAGATCTCTCTGTACACACTGGGCATACACATGCATACCTGTGATTCTGGCTGGCTGAGGCTGGGGCTGGATCATGGCATAAAGATCCTGTCTGGGTGCCTGTCTCTCTCTCTCATTCTCTTTTTCTCAAGCAAGAAAGAAATTAATTTTAAGAAATCATTTTGGATAAGAGTTGTTTTTTTTTTTTTAAGTTACTGAAATCCACTTGAATACAGAAGATTCCTCAATTGCCTTGTTACATATACCTAGATATATTCATGATCAAGGAGTTTATTTCCTATAATAGCCAGTGAGTCAAACTTCAATTGTGGTTGACCGAGAAACAATATAAAGCTTTGCTGCTGTACCTATGAGCTCCCTCTTCTCAGAAAAGGTGCAAAAATAGATTTCTCCAAATTTCTGTAGGTAGCAACTATCAGGTTTAAACTGGAAGACATCTGAGGCACTAGGCTTTTTGTTTTGTTTTGTTTTGTTTTAATTTCACTATAGGGTGTGTGCACTCCCTATAGCAAAAAAAAAAAAAAAAAAAAAAAAAAAAGGAAGTTAGAAAGCACCCCCTGGAAAGATAGCCACACCAGAATTCCTTCTCTATTTTCCCTCTCAGGATTTTGGGTACAAACGCACAGCATTTTTACATAGCTCATTCTTCAAGCCACTAAATATGAGACTTGAACCACATAGATGGACATGAGAGATCCAGCCACCCCAACCATCACAACCACTGGCTGGCCCTACTTATTTATCCTCTCATGCCAGGTGATACGTGCACATGCATGACAGAGAGAGAGAGACAGAGAGAGAGGGAGAGAGATGGGTGATGGGGGAGAGAAACCACCCTCCAATGAGACCTAGTCAAATCCTTTTAGTCTCCATCCCATGAGGATCCTGAGTGTGTAACACGTGCCCTACATGCTTTTCCAGCTGCCAAGGCCAGGACTTAAACCATAGTTGGCCATGTGGGATCCAGTTCCCTCTGCACAGCACTTAACCACTATGCTTTAGGGCCGGCCCCACAATGTATTTTTAATGCTGCATGCCACAAAATTTCAGGAAATAATAAATAAATAAATAATTTGTCTTCACAAAACTTTCTCCATGGATCCAAGGTGCTTATATACATTACGTCATTAAAATGTTACATTTAAACTAAATCAATTGCTTAAAAATAAATTGAATGAGATACATTAAGGGACAAAACCACTGTACCGACATTTACCTGTTGCATCAAATTCAATTGGTTGGCACCGGCGGTTAGAAGACCAATCACATTTGAGGACTTGCCCTCCTTCTACAATCCCAGGCTGGGTAGTGTTCGCTTTGGGAGCTCCCACCAGAAGAAACATTCTGCTAAAACACACAAGGGGTACACAGATTCTAAATGACACAAGTACAAACAATACATGATGGCATATCAGGAGTAATCATTTTCTTCAAATTATTCACAAATATTTTTTAACATCATTCTGAGCTCACAGTTTTTCATTAATACATGCATGCATTATTTGGTATTATTTATTCATCTTAGAGCATTACAAGCAACTGCAGGATTACATTCATTTAAAAATGTATTCTGATCAAAGTACATACTCTAAATACATTAAGTTTGGGACCAGTAATTAGCGTGGCTAAGTCAGTGTACTCCCATGTAGTCAACCATGGTTTGAGTCCCAGACTTGGTGGCTTAAACTCACGCCGGGTGCGTGTACATGCATGCCCAAGATCCCGAGAGGAGAATGGAGGAGAAGGGGTTGCAGCGTGGCCATCCCACCTATGGGGTGACTTCTCATTTTCTGTCTGTCTCTCACTTTCTAGCGAGTGCACGCACCCTACAGCAAAAACCTCTCCAAAAAATAAATAAATAAATAAATAAATATGTTAAGTTTATTGTATGCCACATATCTAAATAAAGTTGTTTTAAAAATTTATGCTGGCTAGAATCAAGGAAGTTTTGTTTTGGTTGGTACTTTGTTATTTTTCTATACATTTCTATTTCTTGAATGCTGAGCAAAGTTCAATGAATGATTGCAAGAATAATAATTCTGAATCTTATGCTTTTATTTTTTAAATAATGACAAAAAAAATTTCTTTTCATAAGACTAATCGAGTCAACTTCTTGTCAAAGATTAGGACCACTGTTCAATTTCTTATCTAAAAAACATTAAAACTTAAAAGTACTGTATAAAGAGATCTTTTCAAATACTGTATGGCCATGCTTAACAAGCACGGAGTGTCCGCACCCAAAAGTGGAAGCTAAGCAACTTCACAGTATAGAAACAGAGAGTTTAATGGTAGGGACTCAAAGCTGGAAGGGGAGATAGGAAAAAGTTGGCTAAAAAATACAAGAGTGCACGTAAACTAGTAAAATGGATTAAGAAATAGTAAACTACAGCATAGCACACTGGTGACAATTTAATACACATTTTCAAAAAACAGTGAATTTATAATGTGTGGCATAATATAATGATACATGTTGGATGGTGAGTATGTTGATATTCTTGATTTGATTATTGTACTGTATATATGCTCTGAAAAATAACAATGTACTCCACCAAGATGTATACTTATGTATAAATCACAAATTATGGTCATTATTTTTTAAAAAGATATGGGGCCCAGCCACAGTTACATAGCTGGCAGAGCACTCCTTCCTGATACTGGACACACACGGGAGTCCTGGGTTCAGATCTCAGCTAGCAAGCACCTCAGCACTCTTGTGCTCCTGGCTGGTTAGGAGGCTTCAGAGAGCTTGAGGTATGGTGAAAACCTTTCTTTCTCTCTTTCTCTCTCTCTCTCCAGAAATATGTTTTGGTAGAGTTTTTTGTTTTTTTGGGTTTTTTTTTTTTTTTTT